TTTCAATTTTAAAACCTCTGAATTACATAGTAGATTGATGATGGTAGGGAGAGGCACCTGTTCAAACCACATTAAAATTAGATGGAAGAGATCAATAGCAGAGACCAGGCTGGGTAAAATACATTTAGGAAGACAAAGTCCTCCTGTGGTCCCAGGGAGTCACTTCCAGCTTTGTGTGGGTGGACTGTGGTAGGAGATGTTAGTAAGATGGGCAGCCTGCCTTCAGGTTCATAGCTGCAGAAAATACTGCCCCGCAGAGCAAAGGCAGGGAAATGGCACAAACCCAACAAGCGCTTTCTGAAGCTGAAGTTGATCTCAGCTCTGGGCTTAGGAGCTTTACGTGGACACTCAGAGCAAGGCAGGCATAGACGCCCTTGTGGTGTAGAGAAACCCCTGCCAGACCACTGCCGCCTCCTGGGACGTGGGTGCACGGGACTGCTGAAGGAGCTTCCAGCACAGCAGCCTCATGTGTGTGACACCCATGTGGCTGGCTGCCACCTCCATCTCTGCCTAGCAGCTCTGCTGGATGCTGGGGGCTTGGAGATGGTGTGCTGGGACAGAAGGCAAGGGTAAGGATATCTTTTGGATCCTGGCTGGAGGAGCAGTGTAGGAGTAAGAAGATGACTTTATAATTGCTTTTTTTTATCACTCTTTCTGACTATATTGACTTTATACTTGACACAGCTTTGGCTGGCAAGTGAGGCCCAGATACATTCAGAATTAGATATGACTAGGCTCATTCTTACATGAGAAGAAAATCGTCGGTTGCTACAGAAACAGCTCCATATCAGTCTCGTGGGGCATCTTTGCATCTGGCTTTTTTTCCTTCTCTTTTGCTAATCTCTAGATAAGAGTCAAAGCAAGTGCAGCACATCCCACATCTATATAAAAGGTTGGAGGAACTCTGCAGAGAGCAAAGTGTGAAAGAACATCTCGTAGATAAGCTAAACTTAAATGAATGAGTTAATTTACACCCCCCTACAATTTTTTTTCTAGTTTTGCAACTCTCGCTGAGTTAATTGAGGTGAAAATTAAATGACACCAGTCAGCAAATATTTTAAAGACCACCAACATCAAGAAAGAGAAAGGAGGTACTCAAAAAAGGAGTTACTAAGAAAATTTAGGAAACTATCTGAGGGGTGAGTTAGAATCTGTGTTGAGAAAATTGCATATTGCAGTGGAATAATAATCCAGACTCACTTTCAGGCAAGTTGTTTAACTTGATAAATTAAGGAATTAGTTAAAAATAAGTGTATATTATGGGTGAACAGGGACCATTCTGCACACTTCAGACCAGCTCACCAGCGAGGTTTTTCAACTGGTTTTCTAAAATGTAATGAATTCTTGATGCTTAGTAGATTAATATTTATTGAGTGAATCAATGTTTAATTTATTAAAAATTTGCCTTCCTTGTATTTTAATATGATTTATTACTTGTCAGTGCTTATTGCATTAATTAAAGATTGTGTTAATTTTGTGGAAGTGAACGCGATCTGCAGGTTTGCTGCAGAGCCCTAACGCACTGTAGGGCTTGTGCCTCTGGGTAGCACCAGCCATAGCCAACTGCAGGAGGTGGGAAACCAGGTGGGAATCACCAATGGCCTCTTCCTGCCTTTGGGCTTTCAAACAGCCAGCAAAGTGAAAATGAGGATGCTGCCCCTTAAGGGTAGGACAGGATTACAGCAAGAGATACTGTGGCGGTGCGGGGAATCCTCCTGCTCGCCTCTTAGAAATTACGGCTGATGCTGTGGAAATCATTTTGGTGTTTCTCATGGAATGCCTTTTTGTCAATTTGGCAATATGGGAAACTGTCACCTCTTGCCCGACCAGGGATGATAGTCATTACATTTCAGTGTTCAGGTTGCAAGTAATTCTTGGGACAGTAGGTTGCCAGAAGATTGGGATAGTCCCAAGCATCTCTGCAGGGGCAGGTGTTTGAGAAGTGGAAAATTACTAAAGGCAGAACAAAAAAAGCCAGACATCTTGTGAGATGAGTCTTTCAAGAAATCTGTCAAAACAGGGAGAGGGTGATCATGCTGGAGGGGGGCAACAGCTGCAATTTGCATCTCTCAGCACTGAAGGGAGAAGCGAATATGTGAAGCCCCACAGCCATGATACTTCTGATGCAATTATTTTATTAATCTTTGTGACACTTGTAATGTCTCTCTCTTTAAATTCAAATTCTGCTGCTTTTATAGCTACTCATAAGAGTGCCTGTATTTTTTTTAAAAAAAATCCATCTAGTTACTAGCCTGCTTGCATCCAGCTGAGCCCTGGAAATGGCAGAGAGCTAGCCCCTCAGATCTGAGAGCAGGCCTGCATTTCTGGAAAGCGATTGCATCCATAATTAGTGCATTTTTGCATGTTTAAATGCATGATTCTGGCATGCACTTTGCTGTTTCCTCCTCTCCGGGGCCTGGGTGAGTGTGCACAAACTTCCCTTGCCGAGCTAAATTAGAGAAACCTCTTCAAGGTCCACTGAAGGTCAGAACAGAGAAATTTTTTCACTCTCAGTGCACTGGTCAGGCAGTAACCACCGTGCTCCAGCCTGGCGTGTTTGGGTGGAGCCAGTGGCAAAAACCTGGTGGCATTTCAAATCCCTTGCAGCAGTTAGGTGTTGGATGCAAAAGATCAGTGCTGCTCTGCTTGAAGTCAGAGAAATAACTTGTGCTTAAAGTTCAACACATGCACAAAGGCTTCCTGGATCTGGAGTTAATTTGTTTTTTCCAAGGCCAGCTTGAAGGCAACGTCCAAACAGGAAAAAAAGTTACCAACTCAACATTTGACTTGTAATAATTTCATTTTATTTCTGATTTTGTTTAGCCTATTCTATATGCTTTTGTTTTCTTGTAGGATCAAGTTCAGCTATTTAGGTTTTTATTTAATGTTTATTTTTACCCTAGTTAACAGACTCAAGTCAGGACCAGGGGCCAGCTGGGCTACATGCCTTTCTCTCTTTTCCAAATCTCTACATTTTGCAACTTTCTTTAACACAGGATATTTATATTCCACCTTTTTTCCCAGTAGAGAAGCTTTCACAGAGTATAGGCTTTGAATATATATTTTCTGCTCTAGCTGTTCATTAGATATACAGCATTTGGAGTTCCAGTTGTGCTGAGAAATGTAAGCAAAGCTTTTGGCCCAATGGGTGTTAAGCCCTGGCATTTCATAGCTTTGTATATATGAATCAGGATTAAGGCACAGGATCTATACAAAATTTAGCTCATTAGGAGATGTTTCGTCTTAGGGCTCCCACTGGGGAGGCGGGTCCTTTGCTTACACTATTGCTTAGTTTGCTTTATTGGTCCCTGGGAAAGGAGGGTGGGGTGAGCAGACCCCAGCAGAGTAGGGACAGCATTTCTGAATGGCTCTTGCAGAGGTGACAGAAGGCAGCAGATCAGTCTTCTGCTCCCCTTTGCAATTACTCTGGCACACCTGGAAAAAGGCTTGGCATAGGCTGGCCTTAGTATTTGATAATAAAGTAAATGTGATCACGCACACCGCTAAGGTCATACTCAGAATGACTTGTCAGAGTTAAGAGAACAAGGAGTACCTATGAAAGCAGACAGGAATGGATTTTCTCACAAATATGAGTTGCGTTGTACAAGAGTTAAGATACCAAAGGCCAGGAAGGTTTCAGAAAATGTGTTTTTTCAGCCTGACACCCCACTTAGCTTCCCAGCAGGCCACGTTCACTGTTGGGCATATAGCCCAAGTATATTCAGATCAACTCTGTCCGTACACTTTAGCCAGTGAAGCTTTACTTACAGAGAAATGATGGGTTTGGAAAGGAGTTTCATCAGTATATCCTCCTCAAGGCCTTTCAGCTGTCACCCAGGGAATACAGTGAATGCAGTGATGAGAATTAGATTAGAAAAAGATCAATAGGGCTGACAATAAATGAAAGTAACACAGACATTATTGAGCAGATTAGGAGAGAGAAATTAAACTGGACAGTATAATCTTCAATGCCAGCTAGACACACTAATGTTGGGCAAAGTTAGGGAGAAGAAAGTGCTATGAAGAAGAGGCAGTAACAGTCTGTCTATAAGATGGGGAAAGCCCTGCTGTTGATGGAAAGCTCTCAGCCCACAGAAAGGTGGAAGAGGATGATAATGGTCCAGGAGCATGTGGATTTCAGCGCCAGGCCACAGAGAGGCAATGGTTGGGAGATCACGTACGGCTGCAAACACGGAGTAGTCAACAGCCTTGGCTACATGTTACAGGGGAAAGGGAACCTCAGACGCACACCACTATCACCAAGGCATTGGTGGTATAGCTTGTTCCAGGCAAAAAATTTTCCTAACCTTCTCATTGTACAGGTTGATTTGCCTTCTGAAGGTTTGCAGCCCTTCCTGAAACCAGTCTTCTGTTTAAACTTGATTATTTGCCATAGTAACTCCCTGTATTTTGCTATCTGTACAAATATCCAGTGATGATCAAGTCTGGCAAGCTTTTGGGATGAGGGATATCTGGTGGCAGTGAGATCCATAGGCTGACTGTGCTCAGCATGAAAAGAAGCTTTCCTTTTATCAGTCTTGAGTTTGTCTAGATCCTCTTACATGTCTTTGAAAGGTTCACCCCAAGGCAATATAATTGTGTTTGATCACATACAGGCTATGAGTCAGTGATTGATAGGAATAAAGAACTTAGAGTTTCTTGTCTTGGTTCCTTGTCTTCTTCCCTGTGGAATCAGAAATCACTTTTATAAATATATCGGTCCATCTGTGCTTCTAGCTATCCATTTCAAGTATATGTTCCAAAAAAGAAATAGTAACACTTTATAAGTGCAAATAAAAACACATTAAAAGGACTGAGCAAGGGTTTTTTTTTTTTCTTCCTCATAAAGTACATGTGGATCCCATCCAAAAGAGTTACTGTGAGCTATGTAGCTTGTAATTAATTCTGCTATAAATGTCAGAACACTTATTTTGCAGGTCTAAGCTGACCCACTAAAATTAGTCCCCTTTTAACAATTCCTTTTATAATTTGTTTTTCAGCAGAAACGGCAGCTTGACCTCCTGACAATAACCAGCCCTGGTAAGTGAGCTCTGCCGCACGGCTCTCTTCTTTTTCTTAAAGAGATGGTTGTCTAAATGTCTTTTTTTTCCCCCGTCTCTGACATGCAAAATGAAAAACACTGTTCCCCAGAAAATCTTTCACGTAATAACAAGTGACAGCTATATTGTGCTTGGCAAAGCCCCGGGCAGTTATCCATTCACAGAGCTGCCTCTTCAGACCTTTACTCTATGAATTTGAGTGCTGATATTTCTTTAAGCCTCCCGGGGTTACAGTTAGCGGTATGTCTGCAGGGCAGATGCCCTCGAATTCACAATGTGTGTTCAAGTATCACTGAAATGCAAGTTTGACTTCCCTTGGTGGCAAACGTGAGCAGTTTGGGGAGTTAGGAGACGGCAGCCCTCTGTGCTTGTGGTGGGAGACAGGAGGTCCAGGCTTAGGTCTGGAGAACCCCAAAATGGGTCAGAAAATACTTAGGTAAAATTAAAATGCTCTCAATGATCTTCATAATGGCTTTTGTCATTTGCCTATTGAGGAGACAAACCACAATGTGTTATACGGGGAAAGCATTGGGCTCTTTGGCATAGCGAGTTTTGAAGGTCTCAGCACCGTGATTGAAATGCAGTTCGTTTGAATGGTGCTTCTCTTTGATCTCAGCTCTTAAGGCTGGGTGGTTTTTAATTTATTGCTCTTTTTCTGGCTCAGTTCTTTCCATTCGCTGCTAAAGAAGTTTGTTGCCCACCAGCTTTAGATGTACACCGTGCTTGAATGGTGCTACCTTTTGGTTAACTTTTTCGATTTTTCAGATGTTTGTATGTATTAAGCTTTCAGTTTGGCTTTAACTGGGACTAATGAGTTCTGGCTTTAACTGGGAATAATGTGTTAGCGAAATGAACAGGTGTTATGGGAAGTGAACAAAATGTGACACACATTTGCTTGGATAACAATTTTGCATCAATAATTGTTCTGACACTCTAAATGTAGATATCATCTGTGACATGGTTTCTCCTTCACTAACCTTGTTAAAATAATAAGAATTAAAATAAGGAGGAGGAACACTTTGTTGGGACAGATGTTTGAGGCTATTGGCAATTGCATCACATTTTTGCATGTTCACTTTTCATGCAGTTGGCAATTATGTTAATGTATGCTCAGGGCACTTGCTGATAAAAGCAACAATACAGCGTGATACAGCCATTGTCACTATTCTGACTGTAACTTCAAGGACAAACATAGCACATTTTTCATTTTTTCGTATCTTCAGCGTTCCCTATTTCTAGAGGAAAAAGAAAAATATCTCTGAAGGTCTTAATCATAATAAACACTCAGATCTTGGATAAGGGCACCAAAGTCCACTGACTTTTTTATTATTATTATTAATAAGAGAAAAGGAGGGTTGGGAACCAGAATAACTTAATATGCGACTTTTCTGTAAAACAAATTCATGGTACTTTCCTCATAATTTCAGATACAGCGTTCACTGGAACAATGAAAGGGTTCACTAAGTTGAGATTGTAAATAGATGTGATCACAATAAGTAGCTATTGCTTCAGATCTCCCAGTTTAATACAGCAATCTACTAAATCAACACAGCAATTAGAAGGATCAAAATAGCTAAATACTAAACCAGCTTTCAATAACTGTGTAGGTAGACCTACTGCACTAAAAGGGGGGAAAAAAGCTTTCCATAACATGCATTTTCTTTTTCCTGAAATGCAAGTTTTACTCTTTGATATTTAGCCAGAAATCTACAATAATTGGCTACATAAGAAAAAAATTCATATCTGTGCCATGGTCATATAATTGAGTGCCTGCAGTTTTGCTTTCAGTAAAGGCATTTTCAAAAGAAGCCTGATGCTGGATCAGGCCAAACTTACTTAAGAGCCTAAAAAGCTGAGATTTTTCGAAAAGGCTGAAAGAGTTAGGCCCTTAATTCCTGGTAGGATGGGAAAACATCAACCTGTGGATTAAAAGGTCTAGTTTGAGCCTTACAAATACAAAAATAAAATAAAATAAATCATAGTCTTGAGGCTTTTATCTGTCTTTGGAGACCGCAACTTTTAAATATTTTATTCTTTGAGTCCTGGCTTTAAAGATCTGGCATCAACAGTCTGCTTTTACAAAGTCGTGATATCGTTTATGATGGCTGAGATCAGCCATAATCACTGTCATCCCTTAATTTATGGATTCAAATTAGGGACAGGGCTATTTATTTGCAGTTGTTAATCCTCTGGGAGTTGTTCCCGTTCTCCACCTTGCCGCAGGCAGGCAGCCTTCGTTTGTAGTGGAGGTCGCTCAGCCTTATTTATACTGTGAAAGTCCTCCATGTCTCACAAGCAGTATCAGCCCCGAAAGCCTTATTGCTTAATTGTAAGAAAAGACAAAGGACTTCAAAACCAAAGGTGACCTCTGAGATTTGCACTTCTGTCGTGATGAATACCGTCTTTCTTTTGTGTGTGTGTGAAATTCTTGAGCCAGTTTTTGTATGTTTAGTCAAGAATCACTTGGCGATCCCTTGCAAGTATTACGACAACTCTTCTCCAAGTGCCACTAAAAAAATTTCCAAAAATTCACCAGCCAATTAATGAGATTAATTGCAAGGTAAAATAATGCCATTCGTGTCAATAAAGGGCTATTGAGACACAAGTGCCAAAACATTCAAAAGCAAGTCTGTGGGATCACGGAAACCTTAATATTACCTCATGGCGGTTGCACTGTTTCCCGTGGCCATGGTTCTGGTATGGTTCCCCGGGAGTCACCGATGGGTAGGAAGCGGTGCCTGTTCCTCCTGCCCTGAATCCCCACCCTGCCCACCCTGTGCCAAGCCCAGCCTGCGAGGCTGATCTGCCACTGCCTCCTTCCTTCCCGCAGATGCTTGACTTAAAAGCACATTTGTATGTTAAACTAAACAGGTATAGATCAGTAACCTGTACCCTGGACTGAAGGCACTCTGGAAAAAATGGAGGAAAAAAGAAGGGGGGGGTGGGGAAAGGAAGAAATGCAGAGGGTGAGAGCAGCAGCTCCAGCTCCAGATTTTACATGCAACATACAGAGCTGACCTATTCCAGCATCCCTAAGAAAACAGCTACGGAAAGCTCTGTGACGTGCCCCAAACTGGAGGATGTCTTTGCTTTGCTGTGGGCCTCCAGAAACAGCCAAACACAAATGATGCATAAGCTGGGAGCGAGCCAGATTTCCTCATGCTCAAATATATTCCTTTGAAGTAACTGACACCCATGTAAAATGTGGAGGGGAGTTCACTGCTCTGCCTTACTGCTGAGTAGCTGGAGGAATGTTAAGTTAAATTTATCAATGCTCTTGCCACACTCCTTTCTTCTTGCCCCTTGACATGTGAGTTACAATTAGACTGTAACGCGCTGTACGGTTCAGGGTGCTGGAGTCAGAGCTGATGTGCGCAGTGGGGTGGGGGAAAGATGTTAAAAATTCATTAGTAGCTGGCAGGGACGTGCTGGCAGGGAGTGGGACATAATGAGGTTTAAGTTTTGGTAATTTAAATTTTCTTTAAACTTAGTTTTACCTCTGAATTTTATCGAACATTTCCTTAATGCTTCTTCTAGTTGACTTCAGGTTTTAGAACCAAATCCTCAGGTGCTTTAATTTGGCTGTGCTGCACAAAGGAGCTGAGGATCTGCCCTTAATTTCTATGTGATCATGTTCTACTAATGCTTTGAACATGCACCATACAATCACATCAGGTTTTGTGGTAGCCACTCAGTAGTTGCAAATAAAATATCCCTGTTTCCATAGCTTTTCCATGGAGACAAAGCTTTTCGCATCTCCTGTGTTTACGATAATAATATAGCTTTCCAATTTCTCTTCTCAGTAAGGTAAATTCATCTCCCAGTAAGGTAAATTCATCTCCCACTGAAGTATTTTTTAATTATTGATACCATAAATGGAAGTGTGTTGGAAACTATTGGCTTTGAAAATAGCTAACATGTGATATTATCCAAGAACCATCAGGAAAATTCTTTTGAAATTCTCTTTGATTCAGCCATCCTCAGGGCTTTATCCTTCTCTACCAGTCTCTCTCCTGCCAATTTAAAATAACATTCTCTTGAAATCAGTCCAATGTCAGGAGAAATTTATCAGCACCATAGGTGCATGTTTCCCAGATGTATATAAACCTACTACATTTGGCAGCAGTAAATTGATTGCATTTAAAAAACCTGGGGTAGCTGAATATTCCATAGTGCCCAGCTTGGCTACAGCATGGAATATAAAGTATTTTAAGTTTCTTTCAGCTCTGTTTTAGGTGAAATAAAGTAAGAGCTGACTCCATAATTCCCGCCTTTCGATTTACTCAGATTTTCCTCTGACCACATTAGAGGTTTACATGCAGGGACAGAGTAAGATATTCCTAATCTCTGTGGAGCAGCATTGAGATTTGATCTGAAATGTTAATGAATTTGTGTGTGCTTCCCCCTAATATTCAAGCTCTTACACTTTTAAACAGGGGAAAAAAGCTTGATTTTAAAAGTATTTATCAGACTGATCTATGTGGTGAAATATTCTCCCCCCTTTAATATCGTCAGTGCTCATGCTCTAAAAATGTCTCCATTTCATTAATTTGTGATACACTGCTACACTGAATTCTTTTAAGGTGGCTTTAGTTTCTGCCATACATATTTTACTGCTGTAAATTATAGATATAGGACTGTTGCCTAGTTAATTTCCTCTGGTTAGGAAAATATATTTCTACTCTCCTGGCATTGCATAAAATGATATGTGGGATTTGCCGCATTTTTTAGCTGATTAAGTTTTGCATTTCTACATATTACTGCTTATGAGATCTCAAGTAAAACTACATAAAGGAAGGAGAAGTTTTATAGTATATCTGAAAGTTTCATTTGACTATAAATTCCACCACTAAGCCCCCTACAAGACTTTTCCATTACCTTCCTGCATAGTCTGGCTATCTACTTCTTTCTAATTGAAGCATGAAAATAATATGAACTCAAAGTCATGAAGCTGTAAGACAGGTATTAGTAAAAATGATA